CACCTCAGCATCACCACAAAACGCAAGCACGTTCACGTAAGTGGGGAGTGTGCTCCTCGGTGTCTTCTCCATATGGCTCCTTTGCTGCAAGTGTGATCAGAGCCTGAGACTATTACGGTACGTCAAGAGCCATGGCTCGGAAGGTTGCTGACTAATGATGGAACTCAGGCCTCGCAGTCAGTCTATTGTGTATTTGTCTGGAGTGGCGGACTGGTGAACTGAAGTTCAGGCTACAGTGTCTCCTTCTTCGCATAACCCCTGGTGCTCTCACGTATGTGAGATTTATGCCGCCCACCCCTGGTGTGTGACATCCCAGTGCTTGTGTTTGGGGCACCGGGTCGCGCACGTGGCGCGTGTAGATGAGGTCATTCCCCGCGTCAAACAACCGACCCAGGCAGTAACTGGAACCTGGGAATGGAAATAAAGAGCGAGGTCGACGACTCGGCACATTTACCTCGCTATAAACAATCGGGCGCACTTGAAGCTATCACGGAGCGCTAAAAGCCGTGGTTTAGAGGGTTGCCAACTGACGGGATAACTCGGACTTCGTAGTCGGCCAAGTGTTGGGTGTTTGTGAGGAGCGGCCGATTGGTGGTCTGAGAGTCAGACCGCAATGGCACCTTCTTAATGTGGCTCTTATGGAAGTCCAACCTAGTGGGATCCGAGCAGGGTGTGGTGGACGCCAAGGGACAGCCTCGACCGCACCAGTCACCTACATCCTCCAACCTCCGGTCTTCTTGATCATGTTTTGAAAATGGACCCAGGTGGGGGAGGAGGGAGTGCGGCAGTTGCTGTGCAAGTCCACCATCACCAAAAAAGAAATCACGCACAAGTCACCGTGCCTGCTCTCATCCTCCAGTGGAGCACACGGTGGACATCGTCAGACACGGCGGGTGAACAGTCACCCATTCCGAAGATGTGATAAATCGTTCCGGTATAAATTGTAGGGTAGACATCCCAAGAAACATAATTTGGAGGCAAATACGTTCTTTGGGGGAAGTAAAAAACTTCACTGGGTAAATTTTCGACGATGGTTCCCCAGGTCGTCATCAGGCTTGAGCAAATGTGCAAAAAAGGCGTTAATTTTATAGGAATGACTGAACTGACTTGGCTGGAAAGGGGTCGATGAGAATGCGGCTAGAATCCGTGGAACATCTTATCCAAAACAAGGGAAGTCGCTGCATTTGGAGCCTGGAGTTCAACTGAAAGATTTTTTGCTAGGAGCATGGCCAAAAGACCACCAAAACCTCAAATGCTGATGGCAGTAAAGAAAAAGCTTGTCATCAGAGCTTCATTTCAAGGGGACGCACTAGACGAACTTTAAAGGAAGCATCTAAGTCAAACCGTATCAGGCACCTTTCCAGCAGCAGATGTTCGTGCATAGTTCGCCAGCCCAGACCATCCCTATGTGTATTTACTCCTTCACTTGCTCCTGTGGAGCAGAATAGATTGTTCAAGCAAGCCGGCGTTTGTCCAAAATTATAAGAGAATATCTTCCAGCATGGTTCCGAAAGTGTCCTAGCCCAATGCCACCAAGGCAGCCGGCCACAAATAATTACCTTTCCCGATGCTCACCCAGCCCCAGATGACATCCACTGTAGGTTTGGTTTTTTTTATCCCTCCCACACCCTATCTCCAGCAGGCGTTTCTACTTGCCGCATCTTTCAATTATTTCAGTAGTAGTACAGTTGGACAGGCGAAAATAGAATTTATCGAAAACAGACATCTGCCCGCCAAATTGCATTCTGAACTTTTCCAGTGGGGACTTTCGTGACTCTTGATTAAAAGTGTCGATTTGGTTGCACAGGTGAAACGGCGCCATCATGCTAGGTACCGCATGCTGGTAAAACAAACTCTCACAATCAGCATTTGTAACGGCAGTGTGAAAGTCTGCAAAATAGCTCTCTGGCTTGTGCCCCACGGGACGCAATTTCAGCTGAGAGTCGCGATTACTAACTAAGAAAAGTAGCTTCGAAAAGTTCGACCTGGAACCCTTACTCTTTTTCGTTTTCATCTGCAACTGGTTATCCAGACACGAGTCGGCTTCACTAAAGCGGGCTTAATGAGTGAAGACTCTACAGAAGTGCGATTTCGTCTTGGTTCGGCATGACACTGTCCGACGCCCACTCCAACCACCCTATGACGGGCCGTATAAAGTCCTTCGTCGATCTGACAAAGATGTTGTCATCGACCGCAACGGCAAGACCGACACAGTCAGCATTGATCGCGTCAAGCCGGCCTACATCGACCACAGTGACCATCCCTCACCCCAACACTGTACCCCGCCTCAAACACTGCGGCCTCCTCCACCTACTGGCGACAGCCCCCTCCGGTTCGCCACACACGATCTGGTCGCCACGTCCACTGGCCCGACAGGTTTGTGGCTGGCTAGCGTGTCGACGCCTTCACTTTGTTTGGTGTCTGGGGGGGAGTTGTAGCAGCTGCTCCAGTCCCCCTTTTCTCCGGCTCCCTTTTGTCGGTCGATGACCGCGATAAGCACTGACAGGCCGCTGACGCACGACCACCCCCTCCGGCTAGAACTGGGACACCTCCGGTCCAGCTGCAGTGAACCCCGGCTGCACTCAAAAACTAATATCGCCTAACGCGCGTCGAACGCTTCGGCTTGATTCCCGTGAGGCCTTGTGAGTATGCGCCCTCCATTCGTCCTCTAATTTGTCCAATCACACGACCACCACTCAGACAGTCACCCCCTCCTGCTGACCCAGACACTCACACCCGCGTAAACAACACACACCGTGACTAACGCTCTCCGTGAACGGACGCTTTCCTCTGTTGCAAGCGAATTGCCAACTTACGGCAACCTGCCCTGTGTACAGAATAAACTAGTCCTCACAGCTCCCTGACTTCTGACAGTAGACGAAACGAACTTATTGTGCGTGGATTAAGTCGATCTCACATCCTTGACCGCCACAAGCTCAAACTCCCGACTGCTTAGGGCGCCCCCTCAATTGCGTAATGAGTATCCTCTACCCACATAACTGCTGCGGTGGTAAAACCTGCAGACGCCCCCCCCCCCTTACTCCTGGAATCGTCTCGTGGTCTGCTTTCGCCACCGAAAGTTGCGACCCTTGTTTTTATCGATCGTGCTCCCGCTTCTGCGACAAGAGCAACAAATGGTCACCCTACAAGGGGGGGGGGGGCGACAGGGCAGCTACAAACAGGGTGTGTGCGTGGGCGTTAGGCGGAATCAGGGAAGGCAACGTCTGAAGTGCGCTGACGGTGGAAGAACAGGCGGCGTCTATGGCGCGAGCCAGCAGGTGTCGTCTCAGCGCGGGCTGACAAGACCAGCGATTCGTGCTCGTAGGCCGTCGTAATTGCGTGTCAAGGTCGACATGACAGGCAGGACAGTGTCGGCACTGGCGTGCCAGGCTTCGCAGGTGTTTTGTGGAGGCCATAGAACTTGGAATTCCTGTAGGACACTAAGTCCTCTCTGGAATCGACGATAGCAGCAGTAACTCGACTCTAGGTGCAGTGATCCAAGCCATTTCTGGAATCCTGGGCTTGTTCTCAGCAAGTCCCGAGGTTGCGGTGTCGGCAGCACATATCGACCTTAAGAATTGTAGCTGAGTCCCAATATATAAGGAGAGCTAGCAAATCTGCCGTATGGTCTACAAAGTTTTCACAAAAATCCAAAATCTATAAACTGCTTAACAAGTAAAAACCGACCTACCTCTCATCACAGTTGAGGCTTAGTTCAAATGACGGCAAGGATCACACACTAGCTGAGTCATCAGAATTGCAGTTACACATCCGATTCATTCACTCCTGAAGTTAGTAACAGGGCTACTAATGACACGGCTATGCTATAAAAACAGTAACCTAGGTGTTGGGAGACACTAAGTTCTTCTGTTGAGAGTTGGATTGCGCGCCGACGCCTACGTACAGTTCGCTTGTCCTCGAGCTGTGTGTCTGTTTGTATGAAGATTTTTTTTACAGTAATCAAATCAATAGGTGTTTTGGCAGACTTTAATAATTCATGTGGCCCAGTTGTGAAGAACTCAGTGGCCTCAGTGGGATTCAAATCAACAAATGCAAGGACAAAGCCCGAGTACAGCCAACGCTCTGACCACAGCTGAATCAGATGAATTATTCAAATCTGCTAGAAACAACCGTCAATTAAGTGGGCCTGATAGTCATCCGGCGGATTCCAGATTGATTATTTGGGAAATACCATCGGGCGGTCAGTTTGCTGCATCAGGATTGGCGGATTCCATACAGTACAGCAGACTAGGCAGGTAATCTGACCCAAATGTGATTAAACTCATGGCTGCCAGTTGGGGCCTCGTATCCCGAGGGGGTAGAGCACTGGCTGTGCTGAAGCCTTGTCCTTGCTACCGTGGGTCCGAATCTCACCGACGTCACGGAGTTTCTCACAATTGGGTCAAATGAATGCTCAAAGCAACTCACAAGACAACTTCTCCACCTTCGGGGAAACGTTAGGGTATCTGGTGCGTCATGTGCACTTACTGCGATACGATAAAACCGCTGATGAACAGCAGTCTGGAACGATATTGAGTCAGCGGTTGAATGCACTGTGGCATTGCGGCGGCTAAGCGTTTGAATGAGCTTTAATCACTAAAATCATCGGACCAAGCTCCGGTCTACAGTTGAAGAAGGCAGAAGGCACTCGTTCCGTACGGAACGAGTGAGTTCCGTAAGAACGATCGGTGAGCACCCCTCTACCATTGTATATTCCCGATCGAAACCGACAGGACAACGGGCCGTAGCCCAGTGGTTAGAGGCGTTGGACTTCTAACTAGCAGGTCATGAGTTCGAGCCCCAGGTGTTCCACACGTCAGGGTTGGGTATGACTGACTGACGACGGCTAATAAGCCAGAAATGGCCATTCCAGTCTCCCTTGTCTTTGTCGGTAATAACATTCTGTTTTTACGGGTTTGCGAGAAAAATACTTCAAGGATCTTGTGCCCAAGTTGTGCATGCGTGTGTCTATGTGTGTGCTGCATTCGTATGTTGCATATATGCCCCAAACGGGCCACGTGGTTGACGCCCTGGACCAACACGAGGGCCGTATCGGATTCTGGCAGGTGTTATCCGACTTGTTCACCATAACAAATGCCGACATTTCGGGGTGCAGTGCCAGACCCGGTTGCCGGCAGACGTCGCGCACATTGGGACCCCTGCCGTTCCCCATTGTTGCTGTCGGTCAAAAACCTGGTGATATGCTGTGTGGACCAGGGGGTGTGGAGTGGAGCACCAAGGTGCGGAATGGACCGTGCCATCCACCTGCGCCCTCCCCCGCCTCCGGTCTTATTGACTCTGTCTTGACACCGGGTCCAGGTGGGGGAGGAGGAGGAGGAGGAGGAGGAGGAGGAGGAGGAGGCGGAGAGGGTGCGGTAGATGCCGAACAAGTCTACTATCACTATAAACTAGTTCACGCACAAGTCACCGTCCCTGCTCTCACCTTGATGTGAAGCACACGTTGGACATCGTCGGAATCGTAGGTCGAACTGCCGTTGCATGCGCGCGTGCTGACGTTGCAGTCGGTCGGAGCGTAAGATCAGTACGGCCAAGTAAATATCTCAGGGAAGGCGACTAACCTTGACGCGCTAAGGCGGACGATGGACGAAGGCGACGGGTGGCATCATTATGGCTATCAGCGAAAGCACAGGCCAGGTAAAAATGCCAGACCGGCAAATGACTTACCAGAACGGTTGCAATGACCGGCCGGGTACGAAGGCTAGGGCAACGGGGCTTCCGAAAGCATAGGCGAGGTCAAAGACCGTATCCGAAGAGGAGGACGCAGACCCCAACGGCCGACCAAAGTGGACCTTGCTGTGAAGCACGAAATAGCAGGGTGTTTAGGACTGCCTGACGGTCGATGCAAATACATTTCTCTTTATGACCACGTGCCAAAAATGGTGGAAAAAACTTTCCCCAAATAAAAAGTTGGGGCTGCAGAATTAGCAAGACTGTCGGTCGGATCTTATTTCATAGCCGCACCCGCAGTACACAAGCCCCAGCCGCTTGTCATACAGGACCAGCAGTAACCCCAACCCCCTAACCCTCACCCTAACTCATAACCCCAACCCCTAACTCCTAACCTCAAACCATAACCCTAATACTAACCCCTAACCCTTAACGCCAGCCCCTAACCCTAACTCATAACCCCAACCCCTAACCCCTAACAGATACGGCCACGAAAAAGGATCTTGTCAGACTGTCAAAGTGCGATGGTCGACAACTTGAAGGTAACCAAATCCTAACCTCTAACCATAACCCTAACATTAACCCCTAGCTCAAACCCCTAACAGATACGGCTACGAAATAGGATCCTGTCAGACTGTCAAAGGTTACCAAATCAGAAGACAGGGGTGGGAGTGTTAGATGAACAAGCCTTTACTGAGACAGATGGGCGTACAGGCAGCAGTTGCAGCTAGCCTCCTCACCCCGCAAGCGAGTGTGGCGTTGGAGTTGTTGGACCTCGGCACCGAGTACCTACACGCCTTTGTCTGAGATGTGTACGCCTCCAACCAATCCTAATCAATCTCCCGCAAGCTGCTGCCAAGTCGCAAGCGCCTCCAGCGGCGAGTTGACGGGTAGTGTAAGGCGGACAGAAAGGCGACATAGATAGTGGCGATCGCGGGGGCAAACTGCCACAAAACAACGCTTATTGCTGTATTGAAACGTAAAAGCGGCTCAGAAGACAACGGGAGCAATAGGTCAATCAAACCGAAAGCCGGCCGTTGATGTTGTGCCGTCTGCGGGAAGCGTGGGAGTGCGCCTGGACTATGTCCGGCTGCGGTCAGTCAATGAAGGAAAAGTATCGATCGCCGCTACAATGTTGGCAAGCTGAAGACTGAGTCGTGGGCGCGAGGGGGGGGGAGGGGTTAGGTCGCTGTTGTCATGCCAAACGGGCCGTCACAGGAGCGTTTGGGGATTCCCCACCGGTGCTCCCAACCTTGAATCATTTGAAATCCAATCATTAAGTCGAAAGTCAGCAGTCTTGTAGCCCAGATCACCTAAAGAGACAGCAAACAAGTGGGAGGCTTTTTAATAAGTTAAGACTGAGAAATGGTCATCTCCCAGCCACTCATCTTAATCGCTGATATCGAATTGTTGGAGTTTCAGCCTGCTTTTCTGGAGAAGGGGGTTCTTGATCGACTGCTGAGTTGAATATCGATTTCAAGGGAAATGATCAATATGTGAAAATGAGTATCGGTGTGTCACCTTAGGTTGTAGTGAAAATTTACTGTGGTTTAGATGCCAGTAATACCAGTTCACAGGATTCAGAATTACTAGGATAATCCTGTAGAGTATTCCTGATATTCAGTGCCAGTGTGTTATGTTTTAGGCTTAGATTAGACAGGTCAGTTCGAAAGGTCTCTCAGTCGGGCTGACTAAAACAGCGTGAACATTGATATTTTCAAAGTGACACCACCAAAAAGCGGAAAAATGATGCCAGCTCCCTATGTATCCCGTTATACCGGACGATCTACACATGCGTAGGATCTTGGTTATGGAGGCTTGCACAACATCGATCCCGCACCCCCCCCCCCCCTCCCACACACCCATCGTGCAGATGGGTGCAGACGCATTGGTTGGACACATTCACTCCCGTCTCCCCTCCGTATCATAAAATGATAATCGAATTTCTGAAATATGTCTCCGATACAAAGAGATTGGTTTGGTAGGGTTGTACTATCATTTTTGTGCGACATATTCCTATGACATTCCAGTCACGCCAGGATTCCGGCCTTTGAATGAGCTTATTTTCGGCCGCCTGAATTAACTCAACTCCGAAAGAACTGACTACTTATGAAGTATGTATTTGACACCTTGATTTCCGATGCCCTTTTAAATGTAATTATATCAAACGAATATCACGCATTTCTCTACGGTATGAGGAAGGTGGCATATAGCACTCACAAACCGTGCAGTGGATGCGGACCAGGCTCCATACTTTATGAGAAACGCCAATAAACCTGCTGACGAGACGCTGTATGAATGGACATCTCACGGTCTGATAATTAGAAGCTTCTTTAAAACCAGAAGGCACTCATTCTTCAAGTAGGGAATTTAGAGAAGATGTAATTTGCTATCAAATGAGTACAAGAAAGAGTACAATCAACTCTGTGAGCTGTGTTCATTGAATATACTGCACCGGACCGTCTATAACAGACGACCCAGCCTTGTACTATGAAACACCGAATCGAAATAATCGTGTCTGACTAAGACCCACTTAAATAAGTAGGGGTGTAGGGGTGTCAGCGGTTGATTCACGTGAAGGTCGTAGTGGTCGCTCACTTGCTTGCAGGTGAGACTACGCCTAGCGTCCACTTGCTGGCACTCAACTCTCACCTGTGGCTCCACGTAGCTGGGCTCTGCTCAGCGGCCACACCCCGGGCAACCGCCTCGACCGGCGGGCTAAACCAGGTGAGGGCGGTTACTCCCTGTGCGCGTTGTGCCGCGTGCACAGGTGACTGCGGACTCCGTGGACGGTTGGTCGGATGGAACACCGCGTCGGCGCCGTCGTGACGAGGCTCCGCCTGGTACACCGTGGATAAGCCGGCGGGATGGATCTCCGAATTGGCACCGTCGACACGCGCCCATCTGTTGCACCGTAGGAGACCGCAGGCCTGCGGCAATACCGTAAGCCATTGGCAAATTCGAGTCGTTCTTCCACTGCCTAAAAACTCGTGGCCCACAGCGGAGTTCGGCCGCGCCGGCACATCAAGGAGCCCTATTCAGGGTCAGGGCACTGCTTCCTTCGGGGCGGGCCTGGAAAAGCTGGCCTAAAAATTGCTGGGGAACCACGTCGTCTGCCGGCGCACCGTGGTCGCAGACGCAAAACTCAAGGTCGAAACAATCAAACTCGAAACAACAATCATACTCATTCTCCTCATCCTACCTCTTCTTCCTCTACCTCCGTCCATTCTTCTGCCTATTCTTCCCCTTCGTCATCTTCTTCTCCACCTCCTTCCCGTCGCCCCACTCGCTTTCCCCAGACTGACAGGGTGAGCCCGCTCCCTCTGGCAGCCTGGAATGTTCGTTCCCTTTTAGACAATCCGAGGAGCAACCGACCGGAACGGAGGACGGCGCTAGTGGCACGAGAACTGGCGCGCTACAAGGTGGACATTGCCGCACTCAGCGAGACCCGTTTCTCCGAACAAGGCCAACTGGAGGAGGTGGGTGCCGGCTACACCTTCTTCTGGAGTGGTCGACCCAAGGCAGAGCGACGGGACGCGGGCGTCGCCTTCGCCATCCGGACCGACATCGTGGGACGATTGCCCAGTCTGCCGCAGGGAATCAACGATCGATTGATGAGCCTCCGTCTGCCTCTCCGGGGTGGGGGAAAATTCGCCACCATCATCAGCGTCTACGCTCCGACGATGACCAACCCCGACGCCGTCAGAGACAAATTCTACGAGGACCTGCATGCCCTCTTGGCGACTGTGTCGAAGGCGGACAAGTTGATGATCCCTGGCGACTTCAACGCCCGCGTCGGCACAGACCATACTGCCTGGAGGGGAGTGCTGGGTCCCCACGGTCTCGGCGGCTCCAACGACAATGGCCTGCTGCTTCTCCGCACCTGCGCAGAACACCGCCTCATCCTGACGAACACGTTCTTCTGTCTGCCGGAGCGAGAGAAGGCCACCTGGAGGCATCCTCGGTCGCGTCAGTGGCACCTGCTGGACTATGTCCTCGTCTGGAGGCGAGATCAGCGGGACGTGCTGGTGACGAAGGCGATCGCGGTAGCTGATGGGTGGACCGACCATCGCCTCGTCATCTCGAAGATGCGTATTCGCCTACAGCCTCGCAGGAGACCACAAGGTAAGCGACCTCCAGGTAAGCTGAATGTTGCCTTGTTGTCTTTGCCCGCTTACCATCTTCATTTCAGCAATGAGCTAGCTCAAGGGCTAGACAACCTTCCAATCGCTGCCGCCGCCGACACCGCCGCCGCTGCCGAGAACGCCTCCGTGGAGAATCGCTGGTGTCAACTGCGAGACACGGTCCAGTCGACGGCGCTCGCCGTCCTCGGTCGCGCTCCCCGCCAACACCAGGACTGGTTCGACGACAACGACGCCGCCATCAGAAATCTGCTTGCTGAGAAGAACCGCCTCCACAAAGCCTACGTAGATCACCCTACTGAGGACAACAAAGCTGCCTTCTACGGCAGTCGCCGACAGCTTCAGCAACGACTGCGCGAGATGCAGGACGCCTGGACTGCTCGCAAAGCTGAGGAGATCCAAGGCTACGCGGACCGCAACGAATGGAAGAACTTCTTCTCTGCGATCAAAGCTGTCTACGGTCCGCCGACGAAGGGCACTGCTCCTCTCCTCAACGCCGACGGCAGCACTCTCCTGACTGAGAAGACGCAAATCCTACAGCGATGGGCCGAGCATTTCCGAGGCGTCCTCAACCGCCCTTCCGCCATCTCTGACGCCGCCATCGAGCGTTTGCCGCAAGTGGAGACCAACGTGGACCTCGACCTCCCGCCATCTCTCCAGGAGACCATCAGGGCCGTGCAGCAACTCTCCAACGGGAAAGCACCCGGATCGGACGCAATCCCTGCTGAGGTCTACAAGCACGGAGGTCCCCTACTGATGGATCATCTGACTGCGCTCTTCCAGGAGATGTGGCGTCAAGGCGAAGTCCCGCAAGATTTCAAGGACGCAACTATCGTGCACTTTTACAAGCGCAAAGGGAATCACCAAGTCTGCGACAACCACCGCGGCATCTCTCTACTGAACATCGCCGGGAAGATCTTCGCTCGCATCCTGCTCAACCGCCTCAACATCCATCTGGAACAGGGCCTTCTGCCGGAAAGCTAATGTGGCTTCCGTCGTCATCGTCGGACCACGGATATGATCTTCGCCGCCCGCCAACGTCAGGAGAAGTGCCAGGAGATGCGGACCCACCTGTACTCTACCTTCGTGGACCTGACGAAAGCCTTCGACACGGTGAATCGTGAAGGACTGTGGAAGATCATGCAGAAATTCGGCTGTCCGGAGCGATTCACTCAGATGGTGCGTCAGCTGCACGACGGCATGATGACGCGAGTCACGGACAACGGAGCTGTCTCAGAGGCATTCGCAGTGACCAACGGAGTGAAGCAGGGATGCGTGCTGGCACCAACCCTCTTCAGTCTTATGTTCTCTGCCATGCTGATGGACGCCTACCGCGACGAACGCCCTGGAATCCGCATCGCCTACAGAACGGACGGTCATCTCCTGAATCAACGGCGGATGCACTTCAAATCGCGCGTATCCACAACTACCGGGCACGAACTCCTCTTCGCCGACGACTGCGCCCTGAACACCACCTCCGAAGCGGAGATGCAACGGAGCATGGACCTATTCTCCGCCGCCTGCGAGAACTTTGGGCTGGTCATTAACACGCAGAAGACGGTGGTGATGCACCAACCGCCGCCCAACTCAGCCACAGCCCCCAACGCGCCGCAAATCAACGTGAATGGGACTCAACTGCAAGTGGTAGAGAACTTCCCGTACCTGGGCAGCACGCTCTCCCGCAACACCAAGATCGACGACGAAGTCGCCAAAAGGATCTTGAAAGCCAGTCAAGCCTTCGGTCGTTCCGAAGCACTGTTTGGAATCGCCACGGTCTCCAACTGAACACGAAGCTGAAGATGTACAAGGCCGTCATCCTGCCGACGTTACTGTACGGAGCAGAGACATGGACGGTGTACACGAGACAGGCACGCCGACTGAACCGCTTCCACCTCAGTTGTCTCCGTCGCATCCTGAGGCTGAACTGGCAGGATCGAATCCCCGACACGGAAGTACTGGAACGAACGGGAATCCCCAGCATATACGCCATACTGAAACAAATGCAGCTGCGCTGGAGCGGCCATCTGGTGCGCATGGACGACGAGCGACTACCCAAACGACTCTTCTACGGAGACGTCGCGACGGGTTCTCGTCGTCAAGGAGGCCAAATTCGCCGCTACAAGGATACTCCGAAGTCCTCCCTGAAGCGCCTGCAAATCAACCCGACCAACTGGGAAGAGGTCGCTCGCGATCGTCCGACATGGAGGAGAACAGTGAAGACGGCGCTGCTATCTATGAAGCCAACCGAATCGCGGCCGCCAAAGCGAAACGCGAAGTCCGCAAATCACAACTTCGCCCAATCCGCAACGCCGCCGCAGAACCGCTCCCTACGTGTCCTCGATGTCAACGGACATTCCGGGCACGAATCGGACATGTTGGACATCTTCGGAACAACCGCACCTCTCGAACTGCTCCAGCCATCGTCCCCCCGCCCGCCTCTTCCTCGTCCTCTCTTCCGCCAACTAACTCTGACACTCCTTCTGCACCACCACTTCCATCCTACTCCTTCTCCTCTACTGCCCCAGCGGCGGCCGTTCAGACTGCCGTCTCACACATCACCAACCGCGACATAATAACCGCCACCACCCCCACCTCTCCCGATTCCAGTGATGAGAATCAGGACTACACCTGCCCTCACTGCGATCGCACCTTCACTTCACGCATTGGCCTGGTCGGTCACTTGCGAATCCATCGCACAGAGACTGGCGAACCAGTGCCTGGAGCACCAACCTACACTTACCGCACTCGCCTCCACTGCCCACACTGCCCTCGCACCTTCACGCATCGCATGGGTCTATTCGGCCACATGCGCATCCACGACGACCTGCGGTAGACAACCGCCGGTCACAACACACATTCCTCACTCCCTACCTCCTAACACCATCACCCCACCAGACATCAACCCTCACACACCTCATGCACTCTACTGCCGCCTCCCACGCAAGTGGGAAGTGTGCATCTCGACTCGGTCCCCATGCAGCTTCGGCTGCACGGGTGACTTGTGTCCGAGACTAGCCCGACACGTCAATTGTCGTGGATAGGAAGGTTGCTGATTGAGGCCCGCTCTCGGTTCACGCAGTTCGTCACGTTGTGTGTAGTGGTGGACTGGTGGGCTGGGGACGGGCTGCAACAGCACCTTCCACGGCACTCTCACGCAAGTGAGAGACACGCCGTTCAATCCGCGTTGTGTGAAATCCTGGTGTTTGTGTGTGTATGGGGGGCCAGGTCGTGCTGTGGCGCGCGCAGGCATGGACAGTCGACCATGTCAGCCACCGCGCCCATTTCTCACTCCAGTCTGCTGACCGGCTCGGACAGTGGCTGGGGTGTGGGAATGGGAAGGGAGAGTGAGGTCGACGACTCAGCGCATTTTCCTCACTATAATCAATCTGACGCGCTTGAAGCTATCACGGTGCGCTAAAAGCCGTGGCTTGGAAGGTTGCCAACTGACGGGGTACCTTGGACCTCCTCCTTCACGGGAGGCGGTCTGAGAGTCAGGCTGCAATGGCTCCTTTTTAATGTGGCCTTAATAGCACTCTCACCAAAGTGTGGGATCCGAGCCAGGCGTTGGCGGCACGCCCAGGTGCGGCTTCGGCCGTGCCAGCCTCCAAATCTCTGTTGTGTTGGTTGAAATCCTGGTTATTGTTGTGTGGACCAGGGGGTGTGGTGGACCGCCAAGGTGAGGATCCGTCCGAGCCATCAACCTGCGGCCTCCCTCGTCTGCGGTCTTCTTGACTCTGTTTTGACACCGGGCTCGGGCGAGGGAGGAGGAGAGTGTGCAGGTAGATGCTACGCAAGTCTACCCGCACTATAAACCCCTGCGTAAGCCACCGTCCCTGCTCCCACAATGCAGTCTGTGGGGCACACGGTGGTCATCGTCGAAATCGACGGACGAACTGTCGTCGTGTGTGTGTGTGTGCGTGTGGAGTGGCGGAGTGGTGGGCTTGGGACGGGCCGCAACAGCACTTTCCACGGCACTCTCACGCAAGTGATAGACAAGCCGCTCAATCCCCGTTGTGTGAAATCCTGGTGTTTGTGTGTGTATGGGGGGCCAGGTCGTGCTGTGGCGCGCGCAGGCATGGACAGTCGACCATGTCAGCCACCGCGCCCATTCCCCACTCCAGTTTGCCGACCGGCTCGGACGGCGGCTGTAGTGTGTGAATGGGAAGGGAGAGTGAGTTCGACGACTCAGCGCATTTTCCTCACTTTCATCAATCTGACGCGCTTGAAGCTATCACGGTGCGCTAAAAGCCGTGGCTTGAAAGGTTGCCAACTGACGGGGTACCTTGGACTTCTTCCTTCACTGGAGGCGGTCTGAGAGTCAGGCCGAAATGGCTCCTTTTTATGTGGCCTTTATGGCATTCCCACCACAGTGTGGGATCCGAGCCAGGCGTTGGCGGCACGCCCAGATGCGGCTTCGGCCGTGCCAGCCTCCAAATCTCTGTTGTGTTGGTTGAAATCCTGGTTATTGTTGTGTGGACCAGGGGGTTGGTGGATCGCTAAGGTGAGGATCCGTCCGAGCCATCAACCTGCGGCCTCCCTCGTCTGCGGTCTTCTTGACTCTGTTTTGACACCGGGCTCGGGCGAGGGAGGAGGAGAGAGTGCAGGTAGATGCAGCGCAAGTCTACCCGCACTATAAACCCCTGCGCAAGTCACCGTTCCTGCTCCCACCGCTGCTGCAGCTGTGGGGCACACGGTGGACATCATCGAAATCGATGGTCGAACTGCCAGTTTTTGTAGGCGGCCGAAAAGAGGCTCATTCAAAAGCCAGCAGCGTGGCGTGACTGAAATATCCTAGGATTTGGCCACATAATAGTTAATATTACAACCCTTCTAGGTTATGTTTTAGAATCGGAAACATAGTTCAGAATTTCAGTGATGGAGATGGGGCGGTCTGCTCGGCGTGGTGACAGCCACCGAAATCCCTTTGCTAGTCAAATGCCAGCGCTGTTCGTGATTTAACCTCTGGCCTGACGCCAATCGATATTTGTCAACGATTAGCCGCAGTCGGACAGAAGTCTCACGCACGCACGCAAGCACCTGACGCCGGGACTGATAACATCAGCGGCTGTCTCTTGGCTTAAAGAGGCAACTACTGTTGCTGAACCGTTTGTTTGCTCCCTTGATGTAGCAAAGGTTGTCCTACTAACTCCGTTTTCATGACTTTTGCTATGGGAAACCTTCTTCTTGTGGACTACAGCGTTTCGACAAGCTTGTAGCGCTCTGAGAGTACTCACCGCTTAGGCTTCACGAATTGGTAACCCCGACGGGATCCGAACACGCAACTTCCATGCGTCGCTGAGCACAGGCGCTATGAAAGTCTTACCCAACTTCATCCTGATGGCTTTCTTGTGCCAGCCATTATAACCGTGGAGAGGAAAACGCAATTGCCGACATCCTATCGCGAATCCAGATAGAAGTTATCAACTAAACTCTGCTATAAAGGTCAAGCCCAAACCTCGGTCGGATTGTGCAGAGGAGTCGTCCAAATGTGTTGCCATCTGAACAATTCTCTTTTGTCCAAGACGTTATTCCACCTATTACCAACGAAACCATCATCCGTAAATTATTTTCATGTACTCAACATGCCAATGTGTATACATAGGTGAATTTTTAGGTAGTTGGGACTGCATTCTATCCAAGCTTTTGTGTCTAGACGACAGTGAGCGTATTTCCCTGACGCGTTCGTGTGACTCAGCCCTCGCTAAGATGCATTGTGTCCGAAATGTCCCTCCCTCTCATATCAACACGCGAACTCACCGGTACACTTTGAAGAGATCACGCCAGCACACCCATGGCTGATACAACAACTTCATCTCAGCACAGGTCGCAGCATGACCCTCGTACGCGGTCCGAGTTTCTCCCGTCATCAACACATGCTCTCAAGCCCACATGTGCACTGGATCAATTTACCCATTTCACTGCTTTCCGCTCGCTCGACACCATCACTTCGTTCTGTACCTGGCGGTCGACCGTTGCCAACGCTCTGTCTGACTTCTCTTTTCAAGGCCCAGCTGACTCAAGGTCACTCACCTTCGCGGCGAGCGGCTCCAGACGCGCTGACCTGCAGACACTCGACCGACTTCAGCCCGGACGCATGTGTGTCCACACAGAGTCGCAGCTACCGGTGCGCCATTTTAATGGGCCACCCCTCGGTAAATGCAACACAGCACCACTTGGGCCTGTTAGCCACAAGCTGCCTGCCTACAAAGGCACCTACCAACACTGCCTAACGAACCCTCGGGCATAAATTGACGCAGTCACACCAGCCCTGGCTGCGCCAGCGACAACTGCCGTCTGAGAGGAGGATTCTGTCTGCAGTAAAGCCCCCGACCTGGTGATTTCTGTTTTTTCCAACAACTCGGGATTTGGCCCGCTGACTGTCGCGCTTTGGGTGCGTTCACCGCTTAGGCGCCACAATCTCACCAGACCGGCATCGGCAAATCATCGTGCGTGGAGAGGTTTTATACACAACGCCATCGAGGCCGCTTAGATCAGAAATGATCCAAGCCGGACCAAATGCACCTAAGTTATCAGTTATAGCGGAACCTCTGGCGCTTATCCCTTGACTGCGTGTCTAAAAATACTGTCAAGGAGCTGCGGATTCGGGACAAACGTTGGAAATATTAAACGCAATGCAAAAGAAGGCAACGGTACATGAAAAGCAAACCTCAAAAAATAAGGGAATTTGAGTAATGGTTTGAGGTCAAGGGAAGGCACTGCTGTTGGTAGTGTAATGTCTACAACAGTCTGCAAATGGATGCTGTGGCGGCCAGCCATCATGACCGGTCTGGCGTCATTGTTCAAGACCTTGCTGCCTCAAGGTCATTCAGCCCTTTGCCGTGAGCCGTTCCAGACGCGCTGACCTGAAGTCACACGACCGACAGCGGGGGCATAGCTGCGTCCACACAGCCGCAGCTGCCCATGCGGCCACTTAAACGCACCTCCCCCCTGCAAGCACAACCTAAGCCACTGGGACACCACCCCTCGGCAACTGCAACACACACGGACTGGAAACCACTTGAGCTTGGCCCACCAGCCTACGAAAGCAGCTGCCACCACTATCTCAGAGGCTCTCAGGCATGACTGGACGCAGTCAACACCAGCCCTGGCTTCGCCAGTGGCCACTGCCGTCTGAGAGGCCAACTCTGGGTTCTGTGCACAATAAACCCCACATTCTGGTACCTTCAGTCTCTCTCCTTACGACTTGGGATTCGTCCTGGTGGTTGTAACGCTCAGAGCACTTATTCTCACTGCTGTGCCGTTACAATGCCAAGATAAAAGCCCATATGACACGATCCACCGTCTACAGACAGTTAGGTGAAGTCCCTTACCCTACCGTTGCAAAAAGAATGTAAGGTACGAGACCTGTACGCAATCTAACCAATTTTTCTAACGACCAGAATAAGTCCTAAACGACTACACGATGGGCATTTTGAATGACAAGAGTCTACTTAGTGATAGTCGCCTCTATACCTGCCACGACATTCAGCTGCGCTTCACAGCAGACGCGCGTTTCCATGGCGTTTATACTGGTTCGATTTACGCAATATTGAGTCACACACACACTGTTGAGCAGGCGCACAAAAATAGCATCCGACACATGCGTTACTAATTCGCGGGGAGATTTTTTCAAAACTAAAAAACGAGCACACACATCATCGCCAATTATGTCGTGCGACGCTTGATTAGCAAAGCGCAAGTCTCCTATAGGGCAGCCAATGAGGATAGGCGGTAAGAAATTGCACTCTTCGAGTGAGGTGTCCGACAGAAGGCTTAAAAAATGTCGGCATCTCCTTTGTGTGTGAGAAGTGTCTCTGAAAAATAGCTGGCTTT